CCATTAATGCCCTCATGACAAACTGAAATGGCCATCCAATAAACTTCCAGATTTGAATGGGAGTGACCTTCCCATAGTATCCCCTCAATTGGGCACTGATACGGCAACAAAGATCTTCGCCTGCCCCAAGCTTCAAATACACACTACTTCAACACAACGCACTTCAAAATACAAGTGCTCCATATTGTAGCTACAATCCGATTCACCTTCTCAACAGGTAGGCCCCTAGAAACCACTGTTCAGACAGAGGGTGCAGAATTTGCCTCCTGCCTGGGACAACAGGTCCCTGCAAAGGGAAAGACACCACGTTGTCCTTAACCGCAACGTCATGATGCTTGCGTACCATATCTTTGCTGGCCAGAAGGAAGCCACCAAAATCAGTGGCAGACTTGTCCCCCTGTACCCTTTCCAGGGTAGGCTGTATCAGTTCCCCCGGTGGGAAAGCATACAACAGAGTCCTGGGCTATACATGAGACAGGGAATCCACCCCCAGTGGGGCACTCCTGTCCATAATCAATAAAACGGTGCGGTTTTCTGCAGGTGCAAAAAGATTCACATCGGCCCTGCTGATTCAAGGGTGCAAACGCCACTCCAGGCGGGACCGCAGGTCTGCCCCATATCAAGACTGTCCATGCCAATTGTAGCAGGGGAAGAGAGCAAGTGCTCCCTTGCCTGCTTATATACAACACCACTGTCATATTTATCATTCCGACTAACACGTTTGCCCTGCTGGAACTACTTCCAGGAGAACTACGAACAATTTTATGTTCTGACGACACAGCAAAGACAACACCGCTTCTGCACATCTTGCAGATTTGCGTGGTGCTAGGGACTTAACTTGTAGGCAATCCAGTTGACGGAGACGGAGAAATTGTCTGTGCCCGGGTGGACTGTAGCAGAATGCATGGGGCAAATCCTCCGATAGATGCCAATCCTGAGGGAGAACGCAGAGGGTATAACAGGTGATTTTAAGCCTGGGGTTCCCAACCACGTTCTTGGAGCCCCCCAGCACTGCATATATTGCACGTCTCCTTTCTCAGCCACATCCATCTCTACTAATGAGCTGATGACCTGAATCAAGTTTGTTTGATTAAGGTGACATGCAAAGTGACATGATCTTCCTTGCTTGAAAAAATATAGGCAGATTATTTCTTGTCTGTATCCAGCGAGACCTAATCATCCTCCTGTCCTGACAGTCAAAGTTCTGCTCAGACTCAAGGGCAGCCAGAGAAACCTTGTCTCCTCCTCGGCCTCCACGGGATCGTTCCCCAACTCCCTGTGGCCTTCAAAAACTGTGATTGCCGCATATTGATCAGTGAATGGAACAAATCAGTAAACAAATGAATTTTTTGGGTGAATGGATTAAAACAGTATCAAAATCCCCACCTAACATCCAACTCACCTGTTGTGCTTGTTGGTTCGAGTTAAAAGTATAGGAAAGTTTTGTGTTCTTGTTCAAGTAAACAAAATGTAAGTACATAATCTAAGAATAATTTGACACTTTTGCATGTTATGGCCAGTGAATTCGGATCACTAAATCTAGAACTCACTTACTTTATTATATTTTTAATTAATGACGGCAGACAGTCAAGGTGATGTTCCAGAATACATTTTTTTAGGAGTTCGACAAAACTTTTAGAATTGTGACTAACAGATAGCAAATAACTCGTCAGCTTGGAAATTAAAAATTACGTTTACAATATATCAGGCTAGTTTGAAGAGTCCATGAGGATAATAGTACCTAATTTCACCTCACTCTCTATCTCTCTTCTTTCTTATACTCTTATTTGCTGAGTAATGGCACTCATGTGACTATAAGAAAGCCTGTGCATTTTCCAGAAACTGTCAAAATCTAATTCCTGTGATAAAAGCAATGCAGTCATGTGGTCCATTAAGAGGACACAAAGGTTCTCAGAGGACTGGTGTCCTCACCCATGAGCATCTTGCTTGCATGGCAAATGAATGAACTCAACACTCGCTAGAATCCTAATTCTAACCAAATTTTTGAACTATAGAAAAACTGAGTGCTAGGCACATTATCGATTGAATCTGTGTTCTGAGTGAATTCTCTCAATTGTGGGTTTTTGTATTTCCAGGAACCTGGTATGAATCATTTTCTCATGCTCTATGAAGAATCAAAGCACAAAACTATAGCCTGCAGAGGCTCGGACGCAAAAAAAACGCCATGTAGTTGTCATGGTGATAACACAAGAGTTGGGTATAGGTGGGAAAAGAACTACAAGGCTGTAATTTGTCTAGACTTCCCACAGCCCATTGCACCTGAGAGATCACGTTTGTGTTGTTATACATGCACTTAAATATAATTGGTGATAATAACTTTTATGTTAATAATGCTAATCCTGTAAGAATGAAAATCCAGTCAACAAAACAAGAGATTTATTTCACTCTACAGCTTTAAATGTAGACATTATACCACACATTTTTTTTCAAGCAAATCTGTGACATAGCATAGAGTAATTCTTCATACTTTGAAACAATGGTAACACTTTACTTGAAGGGGTGTGCATAAGACTAACATGACACCTTCATAATCATGACATTTATGACAACTGTCATTGAGTGTCATTCGCTCAGTTATGACATTTTGAATGCAAATATGACATTGTTTGAGATATCTTTATGACACCTTGACATAAACCAATACATCATAACCTGTCAGTGTCTTTGTCATGACAACTTGACATTATTAAGACAACACAACCTAAACATGACATTAATTATCAAAAATAAGGAACCACCTAGCTTTATTGGTTAACATTACATTAAACTATCAGGTGGTTGGTTTTGACATTGGCTGTCATGAAGCCATTATAACTTTTTAATGACAAATTCAATTAGTATCACTGTAGTTGAGGTCACGAAAAATATTCATGACAGTTATAATGCCCTCATGACAGTCAATGTTAAAACCAACCACATGACAGTTTAACTTCATTTTCTCAAGTTGTCATGACAAAGACATTGGCAGGTTATGATGTAATGGTTTATAACAAGATGCCATAACAAAGAGATTGCATTCAAAATGTCATTATTGAGCGAAAGACACTTAATGACAGTTGTCATAAACATGCATAAACCCTACTTCATATTCAAGACATACCTCATGTCATGATTATGAAGGTGTCTGTCATGTCAGTCTCATGCACACCCCTTCAAGTAAAGTCTTACCGAAACAACTGACAATGTCTCGACAAAATGGTTCACGAACACTTATTTAATGATCCAATACAATCATACAACACCTCCCACATAGATAAATACTATCTGAGAATAAAAACTCTGTTTGCAGCAGGTGCAGATGGATAAGGCTGTGGATCAATACACACATTAAAGGATTTAAATAAAGCACATGGTGATATAGGGAATCATGGGAGATTTATATAATGTCAATGAGTCATAGACTGAATCACTGAGAGATGCAGTGAGTGGAATAGGACTGAAGGGGGGATGAAATGGAAGGATGGCAGTAGATAAGAAGGGCTAGGGTGTTAGGAGTTGGAGTGGAAGAGGAAAGAGGTTGGCAGCTCTCTTTTTAGAGATACAGTTTGAAATGTCCTCTCTCTGCAAACCTTTAATAGACATTTATTCTGATTATAAACACTCTAGACATGCAAGCATCAGAATGCAAGTTCACATCCCATCAATTGAAATGATAAAAATCCCATAAAATTGTATTTATCTTAGCATGCCAGTCCACTAAGTGCCAATAAATATAAAAAAGATGGTAAAATAAGCATACTACAGAATATATTTCATAGTGAACTGTTCTAAACACCCCACATAAATCAAAACCATAACAATTTTTCACCTTTGTGGTGAACTCCTAAAACTCCTAAAGTTGAAATAAAACAGAAGAAGCAACAGATCTTTTTGTTCTGTATTGTGATGTATATTTTCCAAGTCTAACGGAATATTTAAAAAGAAAAAGAAAGGTCCATTGGTTGTTGATTAGATGGAGGCAGATCTGAATTGTAAGAAAGGAGTTTAAACAGGGTAAATGATTGAAAAAGTCTGGAATTCATCACCAAAAAAAAGTCTGTCGTAGAAGGTCATAATATGACATTTTACTAAAATTCACATGGTCAATTTTTTTTTTATAAGTACACATGGATGAATCACTAACAATTCACTAAGAGCAGAATGCCATGCGTTTAGAAAATAGGTTGAATTTTCTTTTTTCTTTAACTAAGATTAGCTTTAGCTTTTGAAATGAGCAGTTGTCTCTGATGAGAAATCCAAAGCAAAATATTGATGACTCATCCTGCACAACACAGATATGTGTCCAATCAAATGCTTTCTATAGTGAGAATGTCGCTCACAAATAACGCCTTGTGACATAACTAAATCATACTTGTTTATTTAAAGGGGTGATGAACTGAGAAATCAAATTTTCCTTGAGCTTTTGACATCTAAGCGGAATATCCTTAAATTTCAGAACTAAAAAAACTCTTGGTTAGTCCAATAAAAGCTTTTATTGACACCAGGCTCATCAAACGACTCATTTTTCAAAGTGGGGAACTATGACGTCAAAGAGGATAAAACACAACCCCCGCAGAATAAGATTGACGCCTACTTCAACGCGGCCAGATTAGCCCCGCCCACCGATTCACGCATTACACGCATAGCTAAATAACATAGATGCTACCCCATGATGACAAACCGGATCGAGCAATAGCCGAATCATTACGAATGATTCCGAATAACCGAATCATTCCGGTTGCCATTTTACAACATTGGACGTTTTCAAAACAATTTCCCCCGAGTGCATCGACGACTGAGTTGAAACTCATTATAATATGCAAAACTGTTATCCACTCACAGCAGTGGGCGTTTGCTTCCAAGTCTTCAGTGCGAGACGCCCATAAAAAAACGAGCGTTTTTCAGCTAGGCTCAAAAATAGGGTACAAAATAGCCTATTACCTATTCATTTTGAAGTTTTTGAATGCAAAAACCAAGCGAACGTCATAAGTTGACCTCAGACAATAATATAATAAAATTGAAAAAGCCAGTTCATGACCCCTTTACACAAAAAAAAGTGAAAGAAAGAAAAAGAACAAGCCCTGTGGTACAGTATGTCCTGCTTAAACGTAAAGAGAGAATAAAAATGATCTTAGTGCAACTTTATGAGATCTTTAGAAATGTTAGTGAGTTTAGTCAGGAATATAGCTGAAATGCAGATGCAAACCAGTTCTGAAAATATCTTGATGTTGTACATTTTCATTTGACAGCCCCAGTCCACCAGAACCTATATTACATAAAGATTAAAAAACTTCTAAAAGCATAATCGGCCATATGTCTGTGTCTGACAGAGAGAAGTCTCACGTTGTGCAGTCAGGCACGCTAGTCCAGAACTCCAGATATACAACAACACAAAAAGACTCACTTAATTCACTCACAAAAACATAAGGTGCAGCTTCAAACATGAATACATTTACTCTGTGTTCATTCTGTGCAAGCTCAAAATGTCTTTAATTTAATTCTGTAGACTGGTGTAACTAACGAACGGATCTTTCTGCTGGTTGCGACTTTTTGATGGTCGGCTGCCATACATTGCTGCCATCTCCTCTCAAGGTTTGAAACATCCAGAACAGGCCATTTCTTTACCAGAGTTGAGCTGAGGAGAGATGGTATCTGGAACTACTGATTTCAGGATATCGTTCTCACTGGCTATGATGTGTTTAACTAGGAAGTTGGCAGCATCGTTAATGTTGAGGTTTTCCTTAAATTTGAAGAGAGAGAAAGAACATACATGAAACTTTTTTTTTTGGACTTTCAAATGTTCAGAAGAAGTCTGTGTTTGATCTCATCTCCCATTGAACGTGACCTGGGAACACTAATGAATGATTAAAACCCATGAAAATGCTCATAGCTGGAGATTAATTTAAGACTGACAGGACTCTTCATTAAGAATGAATGGATAGAGGTTCTAAAATAAATGAAATAAATAAATAAATATATGCCTTTGAATCATTTCATTGGGATTTAATGAGATGGCCTCGGTGTACCAAAAGTCCATTCTCCCGTTTTCCTCGGCAACTGCTCTGCATGCGAGTGGCAGCTGTAATTAGTGTGCAAATATTAATAAGCTTCAATCAGAAGCTTTAATTAAGCGCAAAAGGTTCTGATAATACAAGTTCTATCAAAATATATTTGTTAGTATGCTGTCAGTAGGCGAAAAAAGCTATTTTATTGTCGCCTACATAAAGGGGGTCCCGTAATTGTGAAGGTGATTTCGGCAATTTATCAACCAATCAGATTTGAGGGACAAGTTTACAGTTTGTCAAGTTTAGGATTACAATTAGGTTTAGGTGCTTCTACATTAGTGTTATTTACCAATCATTTCCCTAACTTTTTGATTGGGTTAGGACTAAATATTCGGGCAGCCATCACATGGCAAACTCTCTTTGTTGGTAATCCTCCACACACATTCACAATTTGATTGAATTAATTGTTGGTGATAAATACACCAGCAAATATTCACAGCAAAAGGACAAATAATTTCTAAGGCTATGTTTACATGGAAACGATTCTGAAGAGTATACGCAAAAGTGGCGTTGCGTTATCACTTTTTATTCTGCGTTTAGACGAGCGTTCTGCGTGCATATGGTGACGCAAAAATGTGTGAAATTCAATGTAGTATGCACTCCAGGCGGCTAGGTGGCAATGTGGAGCACTGCCACACCTCAACACCAAGTCTGTGCGCTTGCATACAACCTTCACTATCAAGCAGACTTTTGCGTTTTTACACTTTACACAGGAAACACGGCGGTGGAGCGTTTTTTTAAGATTTCCACTCTGGAGGGTGGTTTCACTTTTTTGCGTTTTTAAGCCCCAAAAATGCCGTCACCGTGTAAACGAAAGGCACATCCGATAAAATATTTTTACGTTTTCACCCGTGAACGTTCTCGTGTAAACAGGGCCTAAGACTAATGTTGAATCAGTGAAAACAAATTTAACCAATGACTTTCCAAACTAGAACTGTTGCGGTATAAGTGGTGGTAACAGAGTATTTACATGGTACTCCAAAGAATACCATGCCGTGTCCAAAAACGTCTCTTTTGTTAGTTTAAATCCCATCCATGAATAGACTTAGTGAATATAGTACTGTGGCAGCTGGCATATATAAATTTGTGGTATGGTATTAGAATCTAAAACCCTCACTATAGACCTATTCAGAGCAGCGCCATGACAGGTATAAAAGTGAGGCTATGAGGGATAGACTTACCGTGTTTCCAATGGCATCCGCTGTAAAAAGCTGAATAAAGCGGCTAGATTACTTACAATTTTCCACAGCTTACATTGTCGGGAGTTTTTTGTCAACTGACATTTCTTGCAAAGATATTTTTCAGGTGTTTCATGAGCAGAACAATCCGAAAACACATTAAATAACAGTACAGCCCATTGAAGAGATCCACGTCTATCCCTCACAGCCTCGCTTTCATTCTCATTAAAAATCAAAGATGGCGCTGCCGTGAGTAAGGCATATACCATGGTTCGGTATATTCTTAATAATTGTGAACATAAACATTCTCAGTCATTACTGTTGCTCCATCCAAAAGCACAGCAAATGTTATATCTTACCTTAGCAGACGTCTCAAACCAGCCCACAAATCCATTCTCCTTGCAGTACTGGTCCATCTTCAGGCCATTGTTAGTCAGAAAGTCTCTATTTTGGTCGCACTTATTGGCCAGGAGCACTGTGGCGACACTCTGGCCATTTGAAAGTATCAATTTTGAGTCCAGATCCTCCTTCCATTTGGAGACTGCCTCAAATGTGGTGGGTCTGGTAACATCAAAAACAATGAATGCCCCCATGGCCTCCCGGTAATAAACCCGAGTCATGTTCCCGAACCTCTCCTGACCTTCCAGTGCAGATGGAGTGGGAGAAAAAAAGGTACAAAACAATTGGGAAAGGCACAACACAACAAGCCGTTCAAATGTTTTGGGTTGGTAAGATTTTTTTTTTTTTTTTGTATTGTTTATGAAAGAAGTCTCACCAAGCAAGGTCCATTCATCAAAAATACATAATTATATTTGAATAAATTTCTACTTTTATTCCTGTGATGCAAAGCTGAATTTTCAGCATCATTACTCCAGTCTTTGGTGATATTTGATCTTTAAAAACTCATTCTAATTTGATGCTCAAGAAATATTTTGGAGACCTTGAGGTGGCGTTTTCAGGATTCTTTGATGAATAGAGAGAACAGCATTTATATTTTTTATTATTTGTTTCTCCTCTTGTTTTATCTCTCTTTATTTGTAATTTTTTCTGATCCCTTTGAAAGTGTGTACAGTAGTTTGATACACTGTTTTTTGACGTGCTGTTTTGTAATGTCTTTACCGACACTTTTGATCGATTTAATGCATCCTTGCTGAAAAAAAAATCGTACTGACCCCATACGTTTGAACACTACACTAGTGTTATATAAATAAATTGCATAGACAGACACAGTACGATATTTTAGCAGCTCATGTCAGACACTCAAATTCTAAGAAAAAGCCTGTGCCAAGATACATTTGGCATGATTACATTTATTATAATGAATCTACTGGACAAAAACACGAGTCTATACAAATCATTGTGTAATGTCCAGCAATGTGTATCGTTCTGAGCAGTATCCACAGCAAACATTCTTGTTCTTCGTATTCAGTTGAATATGCTCATTACAGCTGATTTTTCCAGCTAATGGCACATTCCATCTGTGTGCCTTTCTCTTGTTTGACTCTGAATGCAGCCACTCTTCTGGGCTGCCAACATTACACAACATTCGCTTGGACAGCTGTTTCCCTCAGTTAGTTCTGCTATTTATTCCAAATTAGAATCAGGAGGTGCATGTTGATCTCCATGAGTTTGACAGCAGTCTGCTTCACACTAGATGGACCACGAAACACGAGATGCTGTATTGGTTTTGATAATCCATACGGGATTTTGAGATATTACACAGGTATTATACAACAACAACGAATTATGAATAATGGATAATGTAAATCATCAATCAAGTTCGTTTATGAAATCATTTGCATTAGAAAACGTCAGACTTAAATTAGATACAATTGTTATGGTCACCTTGACAACTTGTGCGTGCGTTAAGAGAAAACTATTAGTCACTGGCAAGAAAAATGAACTCACTCAGCATGTTTTACTTCATTAAATTGTATGTCAGATGACTTCCAGCTAGGGCAGCATTGAGGAGTTTATGAAGCCCATGCGGAGTTTATGACTCTATGTACAGTATGACAGTTTATCATCTAATTTCTCAACAGTAAGCTCCTGGAAGTAGCTACACTAACCCGTTTGCTACATAAATTTCCCCACAATGTCATCCGCGTGCTTTATCTCACATGAGACCTTTCCATGCGGCCACGCGGAAAACGAGTTCTTTAAGCTGCGCGTGCCTGACACGTGAGGTGGACAACGATACACATTTAAGAGACTTGGTTTGGGTTGGATAGCCTACGTATTTTACTGCAGAATAAGATCAACTAACATTACATTTAACGTCGTTAAGCCTTAATGGACTAATCTGATATTGAAATTGATCTGCTCTACCAGTGTTCCACGGCTAAGCACACAAAACAGCCAAAATAACTAATTTATTTACGATAAAACTATTGGCCTATATTTGGTGGCTAGACTATAAAACATTAAACAATACGTTAGTTTAAATAGGCCTATATGCTTTGCTAAATAATAATATTACAAAGAAAAAAAGCTCAATAACATATTTAAAATATATGCATTTATTTATTTACAGACAGTTAAACTAAAGACAGGCTAACTTCTCACGTTTCATTTTGGCGGAATATGGTTAGTAAGTAAGGACGTTTTTAACTGAATAAACTCCATCACGTGAGGTAGGGTAAATAAAAATAAGACACTTCCTTCCTTCATTCTCATTCTTTTTGTCTCTTTGACACACTGCTGTGAAGTTAGATACATTCTCTTACCTGCGATATCCCACAGCTGCAGCCGGACCGTCTCTGAGTCCCAGTTGAGAACTTTGAGCGCAAAATCCACCCCGATAGTCGCTCTGTAGTTTGCGGAGTACACCTGATGCACATAGCGTTTGATGATGCTGGTCTTCCCTACTCCCAAATCACCAATGACAAGAATTTTGTACAAATGCTCTTTCTGATTGCTATGCATCGCTGAGGACATGTGTGTGTCCAGAGTTTATCACACTACATAGTCATCTGTCATTGAACTTAAACTGGCACCGCCCAGGGCGTGGAGAAACTTGTGACCAGCTGTCAGTCAGACAAGCTCTGTTTGCTCATGTGCCCAAGATTACCTGATGCTCTGCGTTTACTCATGAGTTACTTAGTCTGTCTCTCTCTCTATCTGTCTGCATGTCTGTCTTTCTGATCTATCTATCTATCTATCTATCTATCTATCTATCTATCTATCTATCTATCTATCTATCTATCTATCTATCTATCTATCTATCTATCTATCTATCTATCTATCTATCTATCTATCTATCTATCTATCCATCTATCCATCTATCTATCTATCAAATCTGAATGTCTGTCTGTCTGTCTGTCTACCTGTCTGTCTGTCTGTCTGAGTGACTATCTTTCTGTTTGTTTATCTATCTATCTATCTATCTATCTATCTATCTATCTGATCTATCTTTCTGTTTGTCTGTCTGTCTGTCTGTCTATCTGCCTGTCTGTCTGTCTGTCTGACTATCTTTCTGTTTGTCTGTCTGTCTATCTATCTGCCTTTCTATACTGGTATCTATCTATCTATCTATCTATCTATCTATCTATCTATCTATCTATCTATCTATCTATCTATCTATCTATCTATCTATCTATCTATCTATCTATCTATCTATCTATCTATCTATCTATCTATCTATCGTCTGTTGGTCGTCGGTCTGTCTGTCTGTCTGACTGACTGACTATCTTTCTGTTTGTCTGTCTGTCTGACTGACTGACTATCTATCTATCTATATGTCTGTCTGTCTATCTGTCTGTATATATCCTTCTATCTGACTATCTGAATATGTCTGTCTCTCTCTCTATCTGTCTGCATGTCTGTCTTTCTGTTTACAGGCATCTATCTATCTATCTATCTCTATCTATCTATCTATCTATCTATCTATCTATCTATCTATCTATCTATCTATCTATCTATCTATCTATCTATCTATCTATCTATCTATCTATCTATCTATCTATCTATCTATCTATCTATCTATCTATCTATCTATCCGTCTGGCTTGCTGTCTATGTATGTACTGTTCACATAAAGGGAAAAGAAAGAAGTGCATAAAGGAAAAGACAAAAGAGGGGGTGGAACTGCATTCCACACTTAATCATGGAAACTGTGAAAATGACACAACCACGCAAACTCCAGCCTTGGAGCACAGCATCTCCAAATACCTCAATACTCCAACTATTCACCCTGAATATATTTTTTAACAATTAAAATAAAAAGAGAGAAACATTTGTAATTGAGCCCCCTTTAATAACACTCAGGTCAAACCAATATTTTTTTACACGCTTTGAAGAGAAATAAAAAATACTTATCCAGTATCCACAACATAAATAAAACCTCCAAGTAACAGAAATATTGCAAGCTACATTCGTCCCACTGTCACGAAGCTTAATCCACTATGACCATCATATTGAATAAGCACAAATATATTTAGTATAAAAATACATTACACACACGGTCGAAATCTACATTCTATGAACATCTTGTCAGAAAAGGCAAAGAGCGAAAAATGCAAAAGACTTAGAAAATGTACAAAAGTTCTCAAAAGAACATTAAGCAATTATTTTAGCTAATGGCACTGTTCTGCATGCAAACATGACCATATTACATTACACATATTCAAGAAGAATATTGCACATTGATTAAAAGAATATAGATGTCTGTTGGTACGTACAATGTGCGTTTCTTCCTAGTCTGAACATTTTAGCCTAAAGTAGTTCATAAAGTTCATACAAAAAAAAAATTATATCTTTAATTGAGACTTTAATGTGGTTTATAGGTTTTATCAACAAAAACTGTAATGCCCTGTGTAAGAATCATGTCCACAGTGTAATGACTACTGTATATATGTATTTGGAACAAAAGCCTGAGTGGATTTAAAAAAGGAAATGATTTGCAAATCATATACTTATATTTGTTGTAATAGGCCCTGCATTCATATATATTGCTTTATGTATGAATCACTTGTAAACTTATATTACTATTCAAATTATTTGGGGTTAGTAAGTCTCTTATGCTCACAAATTCTGCATTTATCTGATCAAAATACAGTAATATTGTGAAATATTATTACAATTTAAAACTATTTTAAATTCATTTTAAAATGTAATTTATTCCTGTGACACAAAAGTGAATTTTCAGCAGCTATTACTCCAGTCTTCAGTGTCACATGATCCTTCAGAAATCAATCAAATAAACAGTTCTTCTTCTTCTTATTATTATTATAATGTTGAAAACAGCTGTCCTGCTTAATATTTTTGAAACCATGATACATTTTTTTTTCAGGACAGAAAGTTCAAAATAACAGCATTTGTTTGAAACAGAAATTTGTCTTTACTGTCACAGATCAATTGAATGCATCCTTTCTGAATAAAATAATTAATTTCATTAAATGAAAACCTTACTGACCCCAAACCTTTGAAGGATAGTGTAAAAATTGACAGTAAATATTTCCCAAAAAGTCAAATTCCATGTTTCAAATTAAAATGATTAATCATTAAATTCTTCAAGTAATAGTCTGGGACATGTTTATATAAATGAATAAAATGTCAGATTTCTGCGGTATCTAAATAAACTTGCCCTTACATTCCTTCTATTTGATTTATTAAGAAAAATATAATAATAGATATTATTTTAGTTATATAAAGTGGCACAACATGCAACCTCTAAACTAAGGTAATAAAGAAAATGACCAATATTTAAACAAACTGCTTTGCGCTCAAAGGCTCAATTTGGTCCTACATTCAAACATTTGCACTTCCCTCGTATGTGAAGAACCGCGAAAGACGTTCAGACATCTTGATGACAGGCAACAGGAGAGATAAAAATGACATCACCTGGAGAAGGAGTTTTGTTACTTTACACACCTGTGTGGATTGACGTCGTTGGAATGTCATTAAATCTTCCGGTCTACTGACCAACATCCGTAACTTCTTGCCAAGCAGGGCCATAAACTTTGTCAGAACACGAGAGAATATCAAGTACATCCTTAATTATCTGAAAAGCAGTTTGGTGAAGTGCCTTTCCCTACGCAGATCGGGATTTTGAGGACGGGCTGGATTCCAAGCACCATAAAACCTCCTCAGTGAGTGCGTCTATATTAAGAGTTTACACTCCTTGACATTTACAACTGGGTTTTGCAATCTAAGCAGATGCGCGCTCTCAGAAATTGCCTCTTGGTCTCCTTCCTGCGCTTCAAATAATCTCTCAGAGTGAAGAGGAGCTCTGGCTGTAGTGCCGAAGCATCAGCTGGTCGTATATTGGGGAGCAGGGCTCACACAGCGGCAGCTCCGAGGCTGGCGATGTGGGAGACTCGCTGATCGAGTCCACGGAGGAGTCTCTGAATGGCGAAGGTGGTGTCAAGGCGCCCAGATCCTCAAAATCAGTGGTCCTGACCGCACACGAGGAGTCGTAGGTGCTGTCAAAAAGGCTGGCAGGCGAAGCCCTGCTACTCCCACCAGCTATGATGCCCCCGGTGATGCCGACCGCGGAACGAGGGTTGGTGTTTGCTACGGCCACCACATCTGCGTAGGTGGTGACGGTGGTGGGATGCGGCCGTTCTTGCGGGTGGAGACGGAACGAGGGGGAGCAGGGTCTAGGGACCGGGGCGGTGGTGTTCACGGCTGTTCCCGGCGGTGACCCGGGCAGCATCATGCTGTTGAGCTCACTAATGTTCGCAGTGAATCGACTGACCACACAGCTGATCTGATCCATGATGGAGGTCTGGGGCGGGCCGCCATGATGCAAGCGCTCCGTCAGGTATGAGGGTATAGTCACCACTGTCGCACACTCTTCATCGCGCTCTTCCAGTTCGCACCTCTGCAGCTGAGGTCGCTGACACACGGTCGGCAGCGGCGAAGGGGTACGGGGGTGGTAGGTTACAGGGTAGCGCTGGTTTTTCTGAGACCCGTCGTATGCCAGCTTCACCTGGTCCGGCGGTCGATCACAGCCCTTTGAGAAGGGCTTGATAATGGCCATCTGGTTGGCCTCTTCCTTTTTCTTAATGTGGATTGAGATCCGCTTCCACAGGTTTGGCCTGTAACTTCTCTCGTTCTGTGCCCAGGTCACCGTCTTGCCATTGGAACTGTGGAAAGAAAACAGCAATGTGTATTTGATTGATTCATTATACATAAATACACATAACAATTTAACATAATATATATATATATTTAGAATAGTACAGTACAGTGTAGTATACTAAATGTTAAAAAGTGTATCAGTGTTGTAGTCGAGACCACCTCACTCGAGTCCGAGTCGAGACCGAGACCAGAGAGTGTCGAGTCCGAGTCAAGACCGAGTCCATAGAGAGTCGAGTCCGAGACCAGAGACGGTCGAGTCCGAGTCGAGACCGAGACCAGTGAGGGTTGATTACCTAATTTACTTTTATTTACTTAGAGAAATCCTTTTTTTTTTTTTTACTGAATTTACTTAGTTTAAAAAATATGATCAGTTTAGGGTAAAAAGGCCACATAGTAGGTGGTGTTAAAAGTAATTTTATTACAATTTGTCATGCGCAGTTGCGCACTAGAAAATCACCAATCACTGGGCGTGTCAATCAATTTAAATAAATATTTTATTAACATACATTAATAATCATGAAAAATATTTTGAATTGAACTCGAGTGGACTCGGGAATAAGTCCGAGTCCTAAAAAAAAAATGTTCGAGTACGAGTCAATTCCGAGTCCGAGACGAGTTCGAGTCTCGAGTGCTACAACACTGAAGTGTATACATCAGTATATATAGTGTATATCAACTAACGGCCATGCCAAAACGGAGAAATTGAGACTATGGATTTATGCAGGGCACGGAATCACCAAAAAACGAAGAGGGACCCTTGCACCGTGCGCTTAGATCGTTAAAATACGGCCCTAAATCTAAAGGAAAGAGAGAACTGACCCTACCATTAGCCATTTTTTAAATCCATCCATTCCTAGCACAATTACCACCCTCATCCAGTCCTGTACTTCAGATAGGAAATCTCTAACATTAGTTCTCCTAATGCACCTGGGGACCCATCGACCCAAATGCATGAAACTACTGAGTTGCTCCAGGAATGATTCACAGGCAGACAGGGTAATTGGTTGGGGCTCTTTTTCTCTTTCGAGGGGGAATATTGGCAGTTTTTTAATGTGCTCTAAAATATGCTCAGTTGGAGAGTTGATTCATTTTCAGTCTAAACTCATTTTCATCCTCAAAAGCAAACCTTTGGCAGGCATTACTGAGAGATAAACAGATTTAATGTGAGCTTTATTTATTTATTTTGTCAGGAGCGGCTTCTGCATTTGAGAGTGCATATCATCTTTTTATAAAGAGGAAGAAAATGAGGATTTTCAAAACTGACATAAAAATAATTGACACGTTATGCCTCATTATCCTTAAATTCATTCAGTGTAAATCCAATTAAACCAAAGAAGCATAAATCAAAAATATAAGATGTCAATACCCAACTTTAGATAGCTGAAAAACAAATACAAGTCTGCATGACCAAACATTTTTTTTAAACCTATCATGCAGGATTAAACTATTCAAAACAAATTTGCTAACTGAAAATAAAATAATAAAATAAAATAAAAATCTTAAGCTAAACAAAAGCATGGGTAAAACTGAAATAATTATAAAATGCGTATGTACAAAATAATTAAACCAATTAATTAATATAATGTATAAAATATGTACAAAAATCGAAATATTAATAAAAGCTATAATAATACTAAAATAACACTGCTCTCATACTGACCTTACAGTGTCTGTGCCAGAGCCTCGCCTTCTGAACAGGTTAGCCAAGCTGCTAGACCGGCTAGCGGCCGAAGCAGCTTTCCCGTCACCCACGTGCATCCTCACAACCGTTGACGTAGTGAAAGCGCTTCGTACGTTCCTCTCAGGTTTGGCCAACATGATGTAGACTTTGGGCACAAACATGCAGCACAGCGCAGTAGTGGCGCTGAGGCTGACGGAGAAACACATGGTGATTATCTTGTAGTTTGAACCAAAATAAATTGGCACGAAAGCCAGCCAGATAATGCAGGTGGTGTACATGGTAAACGCAATGTATTTGGCCTCGTTGAAATTGGCGGGGACGTTGCGGGTCTTAAAGGCGTAGAAGGTGCAGCTGAGGATGAGCAGCCCGTTGTAGCCCAAAGGCGCCACCACTCCGAGTGTGGTGGTGTTGCAGATTAGGTGCACCTCGCGTATGGACGGATAGTCGTAGATCACTTGTGGAGGTTCCATGATGAAGAGCGCCACGATGATGCCCAGCTGAATCAGGATCAGTATGAAGGCGATGACCAGTTGGGCACAGGCACTCATAAAACGAGGCTTCTTGGTGCAGATCTTCTTCTTGCTGCCCGCAAGGATGCGAGCGATGCGGTTGGTCTTGGTGACCAGGGCTGAGTAGCTCATGGCAGGCGAGAGCCCGATGCCTAACCTCTGCAAGTAACAGTAGGCCAAGTGCGGCTTGGCGATGAGGCAGAATGTACACAGATACCCCAAACAGATGCCAGCCAGGATGATGAAGCACAGCTCCCTGCTGGAGGACTTCACCACCGGCGTATCGTGGAACCTGATGAAGACTAAAGTGACGAAGATGGTGGCGAGCAGGCCAAGGCAGGCGAAGACCACGGCGGCGATGGGTTCAGGATCTCCCCACAGAAGGAACTGCACTGGGATTGGCTCACAGCCTGAGGGACAAAAATTTCAAAAGACGTTAACGTAATTAGGCACTGCTACAAGTCTGTTTATGTATTTATTTAATGGGGACAATATATTTTATATATTTTATGTTATTTAGAATCACTGAAATGTGACATTTAAACTTGTCAGGAGAACATCCATCGTTATTCAGATACCACAGTAAAACTGGCGGCTGAATTACCGTACAACTTTATAAAACTGTGCAAAAGCAAACAAAACCATCCGTTCAACTAAGCATCATGCATTATGCATTACAGGCTGACATCAACAAGCGCTGATATATTTAGCATGTGCGATTTGCATCAAGAGACGATGAAACTGAGTCTTAATTTGGATAGCCTTTAATGAGGTTGATCAAATGAGACTGTGAAGGTTTGGTCTGTTTTTACAGGTCAGATACACTGTCAGTCCCAAACTAGCGACAACAAGAGCTACTCTGGAAAGTTATGGCCATGATTGTGAAAGGCTTTTGTTAAAGTCCCTTTAGGGCAAGTCATCGATATCAGCAGCCATGTTTATAATGCCCCAGGGCAGCTATTTATGCTCTAAAATCTCTGTAAATGTTTGTCGAAATTACACTTGAATTACGTTTTAAATCAGGAATAAAATTTGAAAACCAATTTCATCATAAATTATGCTCCTTAAACTAAATATAAGGAGTATTTTTTATTTTATTTTAAATTAACTCCTTAAAAGTAATTCTGCTGATTTTCAGACTTGTCCAGCTAAAAGCAAAACATATTATTGCTTATATTCAAGTAACAGTAGCAATTTACAATAAGGTTTCATTACTTAACATTAGTTTATGAATCATGCTCGCACAATGATCTTTTTTTTTTTTTACCACATTTACCAATCTAGATCAAAGATTCCCACAATTTTTTGTCAGCCAATCCCCTGACCTAAAATATTTTTTGAAGAACTCCCTTGTCACATTTTTGGTCAGTTAGTTTCATTTCCATGGACTTTTGGTTTGTTATTTAAATCACATGTTCTCCTTTGTCTTTGTTTCCCGCCAATCATTAGTTTCTATGTGCACCGATTAATCGTCATAGCTGCTTATCATTCAGTTCACTATATGTCTATTTAAGTTCCTCTGTTTGTATCCCTCATGGTCCGGTATTGTTTCTGCTTTCTTCATCATCTTTGACCTGGGATTGTTACAAAATACCAGACCACTATTTGATTATGCAGCAAAAATCGCTTCCCTAGTCCGAGAAGGACTTCCTCTAATGGACTTTAACCTTCGATGATGAGAATTTAAAGTCTCTCTTCTGGGTCAGGACTAACTACTACCTTCCAGTAGACCTCCCAGACACCACAGAACTTGACTGAAAGGAGGCCATCATCTGGTGTCTCTAGAGCATCTACCCCTGATCCAGACCAAAGCCAACCCCATGCAGTGCTCAGTTCACCACCACCTTTAACCATGTAGACAACAACTCCAGAGCCCCCCGCAGATGCAGAGCTTCCGCCCACCGCGGACCCTGAGTCTGACATCTGACAACAGCGTCTAATAACCGGAAAACATCGTCCTGGTGGAGCTGGACACAGAGGACTGGCTGATCGATTGGGACTCTGAAGCTGAGCGTCCCACCCTGAACTTTCATCATCAGATTCATCAGCAGAACTATCATCACCGCTGGTTCTAGCCAGTGGAGAAACAGTATCATCATCACTCAGCAAGAACACCAAATAACACTATTGATCCCGTCAAACTTACCTCTGTCACCATCACTGCAAAGCTCAGCCAGTCCTTTAGCCCCGCCTCTGTCATGCTACCACCTGTCTGACCTGAGCGAGGGGATCCTTTGGCTCCGCCTCTCTCAAACTTGCATTGCTGGTATTTCCAGCGGCGTCTCCCCCAAGCTTTACTACGAGGATGATTCCCCCGACTATGAGTTTGTTTACCACCGAAATGACTTTGAAGCTGTTATATTAAGGTACAATTCTTGCATAGTGTGCCTTTAAAGAAATTGCCTTTTAAGGACTACAATAAACGGCTGGTAGGGACTACATTAGCTTCCTCCCGGACTAGTGACATCACAAACCCTAAAACATAAACCCAGCCCCCAGGAATGCGATGTATAGATCATCATGGCAGAATATGCTAAGGATAACTACACATAAGCTATATAAATTCATCAACTAACCAATCAGAAATGTTGTCTACATGTTGTCACTTCTTGAGTCTCCTACTCCTTTTTAAACATAATAAGCTAAAAGTTTTAGAAATTTTCAGTGCATGTCTTTGTGAGGTAATCGAATCTGCTAAGGACATAAGCTGTTGTAGCTCCGCCCTCTGTGCCAGAAGCAGCAGCTCATTTGCATTTAAAGAGAGACACAAAAACGGTGTGTTTTTGCTCACCATCAAAAAGTAACAATTTTAACATGCTATATAAAAACATCTGGGGTATTTTGAGTTAAAACTTCACATACATACTCTGAGGATGTCAAAGACTTTTTTTACATCTTGTGAAAAAGCCATTATAGCACCCCTTTAATTTTAAGTGAGGCTGTAGCCGCCACATTGAACATTTGGATTTCTTTTATTTATATATTTACATGTGCACCATCTTTGCTACAGAGTACATAAACTATATTGAAGATAAATATATGGTTTAAAATCAACTGCTACTAAATGTCGAAAATTGGCTCTCAGGCTCTCGCATGAATAGCAGAGAGGCCTCGGATCTCAGTAATGTACTACATGCTGAGAGACTGCTGCTTCAGGGCTTACGCTTGACAGCAATTCTGGAACATTCTGACGGGCACCCCCGCCAAGTCCAAATCTCTGTTTTTGGCATGAAGTTGCCATGGTCCAGATTCTCAAATAACGCTCTAAGAGATAAATGGGTCTCCGATGTTATTCCGTAACCCAGATACTTATATCACACACAGTTGTACAAGACGATAAGCTTATGTGGCTGGTCTATGTGTTTTAGAATCATGGCTAAAAGATGGTTGTGACTACAAGAAGAACATTTTGCTCTGAAAGTGGATGTAGAATCACCTGTGAGGTCATCTGTAGGCCAGGATCCAAGCTCACACGCACGGCAGGTGTATTCGTCAAACACAAACTCGTTTTCTTTACACGGTGTGCAGGTCCAGCAGCAGCTCACTTCACCCTTACGGATAACCTGATGTGGTCAGAAAAGACCGGTCATGTTATAGATTTTTGTGAAGAAAATGCTCCCTAAAGATGGCTCAGACTGTTGTATAAGTCTGGATCTGAATCTTTTGTTTTTGCGCTTACGTTCGTAAGTCTGATACAGATTTACAATCACACATGTAAGTCACACTCAAATTTGTAAATCTGCTGAAAACACCTCTCCTATTACGCCACATAATTAGAGATATCAGTTGTTTTTTTAAAAGACTATTTTAAAGGGTTAGTTCACCCAAAAATTAAAATTCTGTCAGTATTTACTCACCCTCATGTTGTTCCAACCCCGTAAGACCTTCGTTCATCTTCGGAACACAAATTAAGATATTTAAGATATTAAGATCGCTCCTGCATACAAGTCCATAGGTTTCTTGAGGGATTGAAACTTACCGGCCTCGAAAAGTTATTAAAGACATCGTTAAAATAGTCCAAGTGACTACAGTGGCTCAATCTTAACTTTATCAAACGACGAGAACACTTTTGTGCGCAAAAAAACAACAAAAATAACGACTTTATTTCAACTATTCACTTCCTTCTCCATGAGCCTGTAAGTCAGTTAACGTAGTGTGATTGCGTAGAGCTACGTCACACGTAGGCTCACTATTGGCCGACGCTGGTCATGTGTGTGATGCGTGTGACGTGCAATAACAGAAGCTTACGCTATTAAACTAGTAACCTTACTCCCGCAGAGGGAGAAATAAACGAATAGTTGAAATAAAGTCGTTATTTTTGTTGTTTTTTTGCGCACAAAAGTGTTCTCGTCGTTTGATAAACTTAAAATTGAGCCCCTGTAGTCACTTGGACTATTTTAACGATGTCTTTAATGACTTTTCGAGGACAGCAAGAGCCAGTCCCTCAAGAAGCCTATGGACTGTATGCAGGAGCGATCTTAATATCTTAAATATCTTAATTTGTGTTCCGAAGATGAACGAAGGTCTTACGGGGTTGGAACAACATGAGGGTGAGTAAATACTGACAGAATTTTCATTTTTGGGTGAACTAACCCTTTAAGGCATGCTTACACAGCTGACTTAAAGGGTAACTCTTGAACAAAATTGAACCTTTCGTGAAAAAGCATTATTTGAATGGAAACACCACTTTTAAGATTGACCGTATTTTCGTTTTAGTTTAAATTTCCTTTTGAATGGGAGTACATGGGGCACTTCTATGATAGCATCAAAATCGCTATTTTTAAAACACTAAGAAGGCTTGACACAACATAAAACTGTGC